AACGGGTCCGAGCAGTGCAAGGCGGACCCGTGTGTTTTCAGCAAGATGGACGAAGTGGTGGAGATGATTGTTGTCATCCACGTGGATGACATTTTGGTGGCTGGGTCTGACGAGGACTGCGAGGAGTTGCTTGATTCTCTCAACAAGAAAGTTCCTACCAAAGACCTTGAAGAGTGCGAGTGGTTTGACGGGTGTGCCATTGAGAGAGAGGTAGAGGATGGGACTCCTAAAATCTCACAAACCACGTACATTGACACCATGGTGAAACGCTTTGATGTACAATGGACCTTCCGCACCCCTGGTTCCCCTGGTGTCGACCTAGGACCGAAGCGAGGTGACGAGGAGGGAGGGGAGTGGCCGGTGCGGAACGGCATCGGCAGCATGGTGTGGGTGTCGACGTCCTCGCGTCCAGACGTCTCATTCGCCGTGCGTGCGGCAGCGCGCCACGCCCACGCCCCGGCGAAGAGGCACTAGGATGCCATCCGGAAGATCCTCGGCTACTTGACGGAGACGAGGGACCTCGGCATCACCTACCAACGGGGATCGGCGCTAGGGCTGGCCGTGTACGTAGACGCTAGCCACGCCGACACGGAGGATAGGTGTTCGGTGTCAGGGTTGGCGACGACTGTTGGAGGTACCGTAGTCAGCCATGGAAGCAAGACACAGAGCATCGTGTCTGTGTCTTCCACGGAAGCCGAACACATTGCTGCCGGCGAGGGCGTCAAGGAGGGGTTGTGTGTTCGTGCTGCGCTTTCGGTTGTTGCCCCAGAGACCAGTGGTAGCAGCATCCAGGTCCTTGAGGACAACCAGGGGGCCATGGCGTTGTTGCAATCGCACGAAACACATCGACGCGAGGTTTCATTTCATCCGCGGATTGTTTAGGTCGGGAGATGTTTCGGTAAAGTTCGTTCCGACAACGTAGCAACACGCGGACCTCCTAACCAAGGCCCTCAGCAGGGCCAGTCTGCAGTACCACCGGCGCAAGTTGATGAATTTGTCGGATGTCGTTAGCTGTAGCAGCTTTTAGCACTTGGGAGAGGTCATGTACACCATGCGGGGAAAGACGCATTAACGTCGCGGTCTGTGTAGCTTTGGCAGGAGTAGGGGGGGTTGGGAAACCGCCGTCCGGGGGAACGTAGGCCTCGCGTTCTTGTGTTCGCTTTGGCCTTTCTTAAAGCATGGTCGCCTACCTCTCGTGAAGTTAATACATCACCAAAACAGTCTCACTCGATAAAAACGTGGCGTAGGCTGCAACCAAAAACAAGTACAAGGGGATGGTGTCTTGGGAGTGGTGCAAGCTACTACTGCTGTTGTTGTTGTTGTTTCTCACATCAGCTCAATAGTCCACAAAAAATGGGGAGCCCGTGGTCTCAAAACCCGGCACATACGACGCCGTGAGAAAAAAAAACAAAACAAAAATAGGGTACAAACCACTCGGAAAACGAAACAAAATGATAGAAAGAAAAGAACAGGTATCGCACCGACCGTTCGAGAAAAGAGCCCTCGGACACCGATCAAAATAAAACAAAGCAATTCATTGCTAATCTATCTTAGACGTATTTCTTTAGATAGAGATGGATTTGTTGTGTGAAATTAAGAAAATAAAAAAAAACAGCCGTGTAAGTCGGTGTATCGGTACACACATCACATCAAGATCATAACCAATTGATCAAAAGCATCATACGTCAACACCCTTTGCGGCAGTGGGAGGATAATTTCTTGCAACGCAAACGACCCGAATCGTGTGTGCATCACCCGAAGACAGAACAATATTCATGTCGTCATCATTGTGCCATGGTAACAGCTGCCTGCCACGCTTCCACGGCGTCGTTTGAGAAAACCGACCCTGCTGCCCTTCACTGCGATGTTGAAGAGGGCCTATCTCTTTTCGTTGGCGAAAAAAAACACAGATACGACTCAAAATGCCCTCACCTTTCCTGTGCCGCCTTCCTTTTTACCCTCGCCACGCCACCACAGTTTGTGAGGGTACCACTCCAGCGGCAGTGGGCGGCGGGGAGAGAGGGCAAGGGGCAGAGGGGCCGGAACCAGGAACCACAGGCGAACCGCTTTGCGAAGCCTGGCGAACCATGGAACCCCCTTGGTTCTGTTTTCGGTGTCCTTCCCGGGCGACGTCCACGGCCGCAGCCCACGGTCGGTCCCACCGTCGGCGCGTGAAAGCCTTCGTAGCTGCAGTCTCACACCTCGTTCCATGTCGTCGAGGTTCGCGCTTGGGGCTGTGTGGTTGCTTACTGGCGTTTGTGGTAGGGCTGCCGCCTTCGTTGTGTCTCCAGGTCTGCCTGCCGCCCCTGGAATGCAACCGCAACTGCACCCCACGCAGCGGTGGTCTGGCCCTGGCCCATCATCTTCCAGGTGAGCGGGAGTATGGCGCCACGAACAGGTACGGAAACAATGCACCGCCGCAGCCGATTTCACCCTTCTATTGCTGTGCGTGTGTCATGTGTGTGTTATTGGGCTGGGTGAACACAGCTGCTGTTCCACGGCGGTGCCCTGCGGCCAAGACATGGACAACATGACAACGTGTACGCCCCAGCTCTCTTGTCATCGCAATTGATATCGCTCTAGTGGGTACGAGCAGCTGCACTATCTCGGGTTCCCATTACATTCAGTTGTAGAAGATCGTGGCGTGGTGTAACGCTGCTGCATGATGCATGGTACTACTGAACTGCGGCTGCTGCAGACAGCAAGGACCTATCCTCCTGGCCAAGGGTTTCGGTGACGACAAGGGCAGGAGCAAGCCGGCGACCAAAAGGAACAAGGACAACAAGATGGCGAAGATAAAGACCAAGACCCCCGCCGCTTCTGCACCTTGCCCCTGCTTCTCCGGCAACCCGTACGGGGACTGCTGCAAACCCTTCCACGACGGCGAGAAGAGCGCACAACCCGTACAGGTCATGAGGGCGCGGTACGCGGCGTACGCATGGTGAGAATCAGACCAATGAGTTGCATACGCCTGTCGAGGCGGCAACTGCTGTCGACCGTTTTATGAAGTCGGGTGTGGGGTTGGTTTTCCCTCGTTCGACCCCGAATTTAGTGTTGCTCTTGTGAGAGTAGTGTTGGCCTGTCATCGCCGCACCTCTTGGTGTGTGTATGTGCCAACCTCGGCCGTGGCAAGGAATTGTGTGTGTCGCAAACAGAAGCAGTAGCAACAACAACTGCGTGTATTGCTGTGACTTACGATCCCGAGCCCGCTGTATTTTTTGCGCTGCTTTCGTTGTGCCCACGCAGTAACATGCCCCAGTTCATCATGAAGACCACACATCCCGACCACGAAGATTTTGGGAAGCCAGGCTGGCGAGATAGTATCCTCGTCTTTTGCAACAACTACAAGTGAGCATGAGTTTCTTCTCTGCGTAACGCTACCCGTAGATGCCGAGGTTTGCCCGGACAGAGCCAACCGAGCGCCTTCCTTCGCGCCTCTCTGCCTGCGTATCGAGCAAAAACTATACAAACTTCGTACGCACCTCGACTTCTCGGTCAACGAGGGAAACGGACGGCTGAACCCTTCTCGTTGTACAACCTGTGGCAAGCACCGCACGAGGAAAGGTGGGGCAACGGAAAAGAAGCAACGGTACCTTCCTCCTGTGTGACCCCGGCTGATACGTCAATCATGTTCACAGAAAGCTGTGTGGACTCGCGCGCGGATAGATGCACCGAACAGCGCACGCCGTTGTACTACAAGTCGCTTTGCGATGCCAAAGGAATCACAGTGGTTGCTGGTAATGACGTACTGGTTAATCCCGGCCAACGCGATAAAACTCCAAATTTGTTTGGTCTTGTATGAAACCAACGCATGTGTATGTACTACAGATGGTACCGAATACCCGCGTAATGCAAATGGTACGTTGACTTCAAAAAAATTGCGAGAACGCGGTGAAAATACAAAGCTCCCATGTTGGTGTGCCTTCAGCTTGTTTTTGGCGAATACGCTTCCTTTTTTCGTAATTGTCTTCCGTAGTGAGGTAGGGCTTTGTGTGTGTGTCAGTTGTTGTCCCATCATTGGACTCTGTCGTCTGCCCCTTTGGCCCCTATCCTCCACTTCTACCAGCTAGACGACCCAACCGGGGTCACATAGGAGGGGGGGGTTGGACCCCCTCCTGGGGTTCCTGTCTGAGATATTTTTATCGCGAGAAGGGTACAGCAATCCCTTCCCTCGCGACTTAAGACGTCGATCAAGTTTACTAACAACGAGCTTTGCAGCGCATCGCTTCCAACGGAGACCAGGATTTAACTAGCGAGAAAAAACTCACTCTGTCGGGACTCAAACCCATGACCTGGCCCTTAGCAGGCTGCGAGGTGCATGTGCATGTCTTGGCTGAGTGGTCACCGTTTGCCGGTCCAATGATCGTTTCTTCTTCCTCATCGCTATGTTTGCACGGTCGCCGTCGCCGTGCAGAACGTACATACAGCGGCGGAACCACGACGGCGAATACAGCGGTAGTAAGGCACAGTGGTAAAAACCATGATAACCGAACAATGTGTCCCGGACCTCGTGTCACCATGCACAACGTCACGCGCCCGAAGTGGAGTTGTCCAGGAGTTGTCGCACCGCGGTGCGATACCTTCCATACGTGTGCGAAATTCGAGTTACGTCATACATGTCTTCCGTTTTTTGCTTCACCCTTGTGCTACATCTCAAAATTGTGCCATCGCTCGCAACCTTGCCGTATGGCATCATTCATGCTCAGAAAACGTACAGGACCGTTCCAGCGCTTGCTGTCATCGGTTCGTAGAAAACTTTACCTTGTTTTTTCTTGCCGTGGGTGCGAGCAAGGGTTCGCGCACATGGTGGAGATCGAGAAAGTGGTACGGCCTAGGGTAGAGCCAACCCTGTACGCAGTCAGCATTTCATCTTCGTAGGGAGGTAGGCTGTATATGCCATTGGTAAGCACACGCAGTGTTTGCCGGATAAGAGTATCGTATTGCCTCTCGGGATACGCCCCCATGAAGTTTCTCCGTCGTCAACCCACCCATCGACATAGGCACTAACAGCACTGACGCCCTCAATAAAACTACCATATTTACTGTGGTGTGGTGGTGTGCAACAGATTCACCGGTTTGGAAGTGGGCCAGCCGGAGGAAGACCAAGACACGCCGGACAAGGTGTATGTGTACTTCACTGCCATGGTGAGGCAACGAAAGCACACCGGCGCTGTACAAGCACCGTTCAGAGCGTGGCTTGCGTTTGACTTGGGGAGGTACGGGACCGGCCGTTCGGAATGGATTCCTTGTGCTGAACATTGCTTCGCAATGGTGGCGCACAGAAAGCGCCTGCTGTGCTGTTGTTTCGGTCCGTGGCACACGACGATTGTTTTTTTCACCAACATTGCGTGTGTCCCTTGTTTTGTTTCGCACACTCCTGTGCGTGCCGTCATTCCTTTGGTGTCGGGGCGTGTCTTCCCTGTTGAACTAACAGATGGCGGGCGCGAAGGTGGGCGGTGCCGTTAGTTTCGACGAGAGGAGCGTCTTCGTACTGACCGACGACGGAGAGTGGCTCTACAGAGCCCCTGATGCCAACTACAAGGAGTCTGTCAACGTCATCAGCAAACGAAAGTACAACGCCGCCGCGAAGACGGACAGGCCCAGCGGGTTCTCTGCACGATGAGGGAAATTAATCCAGGCGTCCCCCTTCTCGTTTGTGAAGCTGTTGTGCTGTTGAGTGCTCCTTGGTTGCATTTCCCGTTTCAGCGGGTAGATGCATGTTGATGTGACCCCTTCCGCGTTCCGTGGGAACAAAGAGCGCGTGGCGCTACGGTAGCTAGCTTCAAGAGCGGGCTTGTCCACGGTTGCGGAGTAAACTAATAAACAGGCGGAAGCAAAGCGGTTGTCTGCTAACGATCATGGTCTAGATTTGTGGCCAAACGGCGTGTCTTTAGCCGTTTCCGTCAGAAAGTGAGAGCAGGAGGAAGTGAGCCGTGCGTTGCCACCTAGCGATGCTGTGGTTTTGGTTTGGGTGTGTCCATTTGGTGGAAGATGTCGCACGTTACCGCCGGAACGGCAGGCCGAAGCGCGACCAAGACGGGGCTCGAGGTCTGGGAATAGCTTACCAGCGCGTCATTTTCGCATGTACAACGAAATTCACAACAAGGACCGAGATTCGGGATTTTGCCCAGCAATTTCACAGGTACAAAACGGGGTCATCGGCGCTATTCAAGCGGCGCTATTGAGCCCCTCCCAACAGTAGGTACTTAAGCATATGATTGGTCACGATCCGGCGGGCCATGCGCGAGTCCTTTTTCGTCCACATTGAACTAATTCAATACGACAAGTTTCGTGGACGACATCACGTTTCTGCCCCCAATTGGAGTGTGGTCGCCTGATGACAAGCTTGGGTGCGACACAGCCTTGTGGAGGGAAAGAGTAACACCCGTGCAATATGGTGCCCGTATAGGCATGCTCCGCTGGGTAGGACACCGTCACATGCTCTCAGATCTCCCCCCGCAGGTTGAGCAGCAGGTGAAAACCTTGTCTAGAACCAATCGACTCTCGTCGTGATGCGATCTGACAATCTAGGGCCATGCACCACGTCCGTAGGGTCTCTGTTTAGCGTTGATAGTGGATACCGTCAAGATGCAGACACTGGGATCTCAACAGCGCACAGGCAGGTGCCATCGGATAGAACACAATGTACAAGACATGTTGAGCGACAGCGGTGGGCACGTGGAACTATACATGAAAGCCAACACCTACACCACCGTGAGAACATCGAAATATTTGATCAAACGCCCACCCACGCCCCCATAAAACATACCACGTAACAAACCAAACGAACGTCACCTACATATCTAAGGCAGCCGAAAGAGTTGTAAACAGGATAGTTCTGCGTAGAACCACAGGTCAAACTTCACAGCAGCACATCAAAAAAGGCGGTACACTGAAAATAGCGAGCCCCAGAGCATAAGTGAGCATGGCGCTTGGAGACGAGCTTCCAGCCCCGGAATTCCCTCCCGTGTTGGCAGAGCTATCTAAATTATCGTCGTCATTGGCCACGATGCCGTCGTCAGTTGCCGTCCCGTTGTAATTGCCGAAACCCCCATCGTCAGTGGCCGTCGCGTCGTCGTCAGTCGCTGTCGCGTTGTAATGGCCTCCCGCGTCATCGTCAACTACTACTCCACCACCGCTTCCGAAATTGCATATCAAGGTGGAACATTCTCCGCCTTCCGCAAGGCTGGACGCATAATTAGCTGCGCATAAATAGTAGTCGACGAACATGTTGTTTCCCATGCAGTCGTTGGCGGAATATAAGTCTTGGCAGCAGGCGAGCATTGAATAGAAGTCGCATACGTCGAAATCATCAGACTCAAAATTTGTAGTGCATTCCATAAACTCATCCACGTCACTTAGGTAGGCTGACCAACATTCCTCGCACTCCGAGTCATAGTAGCAAGCCCAAGACTCGTCAACGCACACGTTAGTGGTCAAAGAAGAGGTTGCGCGAGCGTGTTGCGGCAATATCGAAGCGGTGGCGAGGAGGACAAAGCTTGACCAAAGTTGCAGCGCCTTGGTGGACATCCTGACTGCTCGTGCTCGGCCCTGCTCACGAGGTCAACCTGCTTTCAGGAACCAGCAACACCCAATCATCAGTATAAACATAGTTAGGGTATCACGGACCGTTGGCAGGTTGGGACTGGTTCCTATACCTTCCACTAGTTTTGTGGGACGACAGTTGCTCAAGAGGCGTGTGGGTTTGAAAAGTAGCTTCGAAATAGTCGACGAACCACGCAACTCGGACGTGCATTGTGAAAAACTTCATCTCATCGCCATGTCGTAATGGTTAGTCTGCCGAAAGGTGCAAACGTGCACCACGATTACCACACTGGAGCTGACCCACCAGAGCTGCAGACTTCGGGGCGATCGTGATCTGGGATCTGAGACCTTCACCGCCGCGCTCCCCGTCTTTTCCTCCCTCTCAGTTTCCCTCCCTCTATCTCTGCGCGTGTTTACAAAATTGCTTGACCCGACTGGCATGTACGAAACGCAAACAAGCCGAATGTTCTCTTGCGAAAAGCCCTCGGGGGAAACATACGAGTTTTCGTTTTGCCTAGCCACTGTCTCCGGGTATGACCCAAATGTGCGGGGGTCAAGCTTTGTATTGCGGGAACTCTGGAGATGAAGCGCTCCGAGGATACCCTCCGTGAACGAGTAGGCCTTGGCCCCCGTCCAACCTCTCTCACGAGATCAAAGTTTTTCAGTCTGAACCAGACGCTGATCCAGAAGCTGTATCTGATTCAGTACCTTTTTGATAACCAGCAATGGTTTTGTTTGCACAGGAAATGCTCAAGTCAGGAACCGGCCGGGCACACTGGCAATGCCTGTATTTTTCAGGAATATGAAGAAATCGCTTGAAGACCAGAAGCGCACGAACGAACTTGTGAGGATTATTGGAAATATCCAAAGAGAGTGGTGATTGGAAGGGTTCCTCGTCTGGACCACTAGTGATGAAACGTTAGCAGGACATGAATGGTGATTACATCGGGATAACATCCTGAAACAAGAAAAGCCTCCAAAAAATTGACGCACCGAAGAAGGAAGTCGCAACCGTTCAACAATACTGGTGAAAAAGACGTTGAGCTGTAGAGAGAAGGTGTGGCGGCCTTCGTCTAAGTCAAGAAAAACTGGCTAGCGGAAACATCAAGTGTGTTTTTTCGAAAAAAACTTTTCTTCTCAACACGGGGAATTGGTCGAGACTTGCGGTACCTCTCAACCACGTGCTTTGGGTGCAATAGGGATCAAGCAGCAGCGCGAACGGAAAGTCGTCGCCTGGGGCGCCGCCTTTTGCTTCGAACAAGGTCGTCCAAGAAGCGGGAACAACTACTTGACGATAGCATGTCAAGACAATCAATGAACCAAATTTTCATGGGTGACAGCTCACGCCAGCGGGCGGGTAGGTAGGGTCAATCTCTATTACTGTACACCTCGACGCGTAATTCTAGGAGCGTCTTTTTTATTTTTGGGAAATGGACAAAAGTGGGTATACCCACCCCTTTCTCGGACAAAAGTGGGTACTCGAAAATCCAGCTCGGAAATGGACATGCTACTGCTGCCCTCGCGAGTCGGTGTGCACTCGTCGTGTGTTGTGTGCGTGTGTGGTGGTGTTGCTGTATGGATGCGCGTCTTTTTGTTCTGTATGCGCGACCCGTTGGTTTTGTTGTCCGTTGTGTGTCACGCATTATGCCGTGCTTGCCGGCGGCGGGGCTTGCCGGCAGTATCTTCCCGTCGGGAAGGTACCGCCGGCAAGCTGTGCCGGGTATCGTATATTTTCCCGTGCCTGTACCGAAGGGGTCTGGCATGTTTCTGACATGTTCCTCCGCGGTCGGTCCGCAGTCGGCAGCCAGGATACGAAAGATGCCATGGAAACGGTGTTGGGAGGTTCTGAGACGTTCCGAGGCTATTCGATGTTCTGCCGTGCGGTGACGTGGAGGTCGATTTCCGCTCGGTTTCCGCTGTCCGTAAGTGGACAAAAGTGGGTACAATTTGGACAAAAGTGGGTCAAAAAATAGACACAAGTGGGTACATGAAAAAATTAGTAGAAGCCGCTGGGTATACCCACCACGATGTCGGACAGAAGTGGGCACTCTGTTGAGGCCTTGCGCGCCGCGGCGGTATTAGGGCCAAAGGTGTGCCTGGAAGTGGAAAAAAATCGATGCCCGTGCTGTGTATGGTCCCTGGCTATGTCGCCCTGGTGCCAGAATGGGGTTTTGAGTCGTGTGGGGGTCGCACATGGACTGCGCGCGAGCTGGATTTTCGAGTACCCACTTTTGTCCGAGAAAGGGGTGGGTATACCCACTTTTGTCCATTTCCCTTTATTTTTTGTAGGAGCGGCTTGAGCGGCTCTTTCTTAGCGTTTTTAGCATCGATTTCTATACATGTACAACACCCAATCCAAACAGGTTAGTTATTTCCTCCTCGGCCGCTGCATAGAGGTGCAAAACTTGCTGACTGGTGGCACTGGATGCACGTTATGGTTGGGACAGACACCGGCTAAAAAACATGGGGGGGGGAGGTTGCGGCCCCATTTGTATGTTGGATACACAAAATATGTATATATGCATACAAACGTTATCCGGTATCTCGGGGAGGTTGCAGCCTCATGCACAGGGAGGATCCGGGGCAAGGAGCGGGTTGGGCAATCCAATGCAGGTCGTACCTGCACGCAGGGAAACGTGATCGAATCAAGACTACCCGGCGCATTGTTGTTGTTATTCTTCACATTAAACTCGTGCCAGTTGCTGATCCCAAAATCTATTTAGCAAAGGCTCGGTCCGTTGTCACAAAAATGCAAGAGCCATCACAAGATCTAAACACACACACACCATGAGCAAGAAAAGATACACAAGCCCGAGGAGGTACACCTACAATTCCTGCAGCACGTTTGCGTGCTCACAAGTGAACTGCATGCCCACACACTACAATTCGACTTCAGCAGGAGCATCACCCCCCTTGTCCCGCATTTCACCAAAATGAATGTTTGTCGGCTACAGCATTGCTGAATGATGTTCGGGATAGCATTCGTATGCTGGGATTTCGTAGAAGTGTGTTCCTTGGTTAGACTACACACACTATGTTGCATGTTTTGTCAAAACATTCAAACATTCATGTAGTCTACATACATTCATCTGTCGTAATGATTCAACGTCCACAGTGAGCCCTGCGCCTGGCCCCCCTTTTTGTGATGCGCGTGGTCTGGCCGTTGGTCGAAAAACCACAAAAATAAAGTTTTTCCGCTTTTCAGCTGAAAAGCGCAGGCCGCCGGCGCCAAATCTTGTTTTGACTTGATGTTTTAGAGCGAGAGAAGAACGCGAAATACTCAATGCCACAAACGAGCTGGCTCTTGCGGTTCAGTATACACCTGTGAACAGGACATATCTGTGGATTCATCGGTCAGTTTTGCAATCGACGGGTCCTAACACTCTCCCCCCCGGCCTGCCCCCCCCGTCCCTGGGGTAGGCCGAGGTTCCGCAAGTGGATCTAGACCTCGAAAGACCACCCAGGAACGACGGCTATACGGTCCCTAGCACTGTTGAGAGGGGGATCCTGAGTTCGGCAGTTGGGAGTTACTGCTGTCGTGAGATCGGGGTAGCTCCTTAGCCGCCAGCTTTGGTAGCTGCAAAATGAGACTGGATCCTGACGCCCAGGCTTGGACACCGGGGCTATGCAGCAGCAGAGAACACGGTGAGGGTGGAGGAGTGGCCGCACGCCGTGGGGGTATGCCCCAGAGAGAGGAAAGGAGAGAGCCAGAGATGGAGGGCCACACCGCTCCGGAACAAGAAGACAGCTCTATGAGAAACAAGGTAAGAACCGGGGTAACTATCACGTTAGCCCGAGTGTAGGCAAAAAAAGAGTGAAAAAACAAAAAAAGAGGGGATAATGGAGGAAAAGGAAGGGTCGAGCGGCGCGTAGGCTAGCTAAGAGAGCAGCGCGCGCCGCGCGAAAGAGACAGCAGGGTCAACTTCTTAGGGTAGCAACCTGGAGTGTGCGAACTTTGGCTGTAAACGGGGCCAATGGATACGGGCGAGCTTACAGCGTTCTACACGAGGCAGCGAGACAAGACGTATCGGTGGTAGGAATGC